TTCCTAGTAGTAAGGCCAGGAGCCCCTAGTAGCGTCCTTGTTCCTAGGATTCTCCAAAAGTACTTCGAAGAACGCTGGGATTCGTTCTGGTGAAAGTTTTCCCTCAATCGCTTTGCCCAAACATTCTGTCCTGAAGGCCACGTGTGTAGCCCTACAGTCCAATGGCAGCGTCCGAGGTTTTACGCCTGTCGTCGCAGTGCGGGCTTGCAAAATGTGTGCCACAACTTGGTTTATTCTGCTTGTTTGCTTCTTTGCATTCTGTTCCTCCTTAGGTTCTGAGACACGTCTGTCCTCTTTCTGTTCTTTTCATGTCTTTCCTTTTGTTTCCTTTCCCTTCCCTTCCATCCCTTCCTTCCCTTCTTTCTTTCTTTCTGCTGAAAAATCGTCCAGGTGGGCACACTACCTCTTTTCAAAGGGAAGCAGGGTACGCAAGAAGTGTCGGCATTGGCAGCATGCAAATGCTCTTTTTCAGCTCTTGCTGTATTCCACAATCTTTGGATCCAACTTTCCAGGATGAAATGGTTTTGGTGCGTTAAACATGATTTTTAAAAAATTGACAAAATCATGTATATAAACATAAAATAGAAACTAAACATATTAACAACATAACCCTTCGCTCGAAGTTGACTGCCTTCGGCTCGACCTGGTCGTGGGGCACTCGGACAGAGGTTGGCACTCCGCTCCCATAGGCGAGAAGAGGGCTCCTCTCAAGGTGCTCCGTTCGTAGCGATGCACTTGTTCCCCTAGTAGCCCCTAGAAGTAAGGCCAGGAGCCCCTAGTAGCTTCTTGCTCCTAGTAGCGATGCCAGGAGCCCCTAGTAGCGTCCTTGTTCCTAGTTGGTTTTTAAAACTAGGCGGAACAAACCGACTTGTGGGAACTACACTCGTAGCTTCTTGTTGTATTCTTCTTGCCCGCTCCCTGCCGCTCCAGGAGGGGGGGAGGTTCCTTGAAGAAGCGCTCGCACTAATGATTTGGTTCGTATTTTTTTTGGGAAACTCTCCATTTGAGGTCTTTTGGAGAGATCCTGTTTGAAAGCAGGAAATATGATGCCTTGTATATCTAGAGAGAGAGAGAGGTTGCATATATTGTTGTTTTAATCCTATCTTTT